TTGTCTCCAGGATCAGGCATTCAGCGGGACAGTGCTCAGTTAATCAGGTCTGTAGCAATTCTGCCTTGCACAGTTTGTGCATCTCCTTCCACAGAAATACATTTTAGAGTCAGCTCCTCCGTTTTAGGCTAAATATTTTCTTTGTGCGTGGACATGCTTGTTTGTGAATCTTTACGTTTTCTGAATAATTAAATGTGTATTCTAAGGCCCGCCCGCCCTCTTTAAAGGCAAGGTGGGGGTAAGGTCAGTCCTGGGCACCAAATGTGGCCCTCCAGACCTTTTTCATTCGGCCCTTAGGGAAGTCCCACCAGTCCACATCTTCTCCTCACCAGCCTCACCATCCATGTCCTGCCTGAGTGCTTTCGCCTGGCTGGAATGTGACAGAGGCTCTTGCTTGCTTGGAGGTAAGATAAGAGAGCTGCGGAGGTATAGAAAACTCTGGGGGGTTTTGCAGGGAGGGAGGGAAGGAAGGAGGGTTACTGGTTTGGTTTGTTCTTGCTCTTATCTTGCATTTTTAGGCTGTGAACCACTCTAAGATCTACAGATGAAGGGTGGTATACATATTTAATGAATAACAACATCCTACTGTAGCTTGATAAAAATCACATCCATCGATCCACTCTCTTTTACATCTGCCAAGCATGGGCATTTGACTCCCTAGAAGGTTCTCTACAGTGGAAGGAATTCCTTAGGCTGAAAAGGTTTTCCCTTCCCTGCATTTAGGATACTGGGGGATTTAGAACTCTGGGAACCCCAGATTTTGGCTAGAGTAGGCCAAAGATTTGGGTGTGCAACAGTGAAAACACTGCTTTATACTAAAAAAATATTTCTTTTTAAAGTATCTGAACACTTTCCAATTTTCTTAGAAGAACCCATTACCAGAGCAGGTAGCTGTCTTATCTTGCTTGCAACTAATTAAAATGTTAAATTAAATGGTCACTTTATTCAACCATGCTTCAGCTAATTAACTGGTGCTGTGAAAGGTAATTTTGCATATATTTAAACTCCAGTTGAATTTACTGTATTTTTAATCTCATCATCATTTAAATTGAACCAACCACATCACACCAGTCCATGGAATCATAGAATTATAGTGTTGGAATAATTATTATTCCAATAAAATATTAAAATACAATAGTTTGTTAAACATTAAAAGCTTCCCTAAACAGGGCTGCCTTCAGATGTCTTCTAAAAGTCTGGTACAGTGGTACCTCAGGTTAAGAACTTACTGGTAATTCATTCTGGAGGTCCGTTCTTAACCTGAAACTGTTCTTAACCTGACGTACCACTTTAGCTAATGGGGCCTCCCGCTGCCGCCATGCCGCCACCATGTGATTTCTATTCTCATCCTGAAGCAAAGTTCTTAACCCAATGTACTATTTCTGGGTTAGTGGAGTCTGTAACCTGAAGCGTCTGTAACCCGAGGTACCACTGTAGTTGAGGGCGTTCCACAGGGTGGGTGCCACCACCAAAATGCCCTCTGCCTGGTTCCCTGTAACTTGGCGTCTCGCAGTGAGGGAACTGCCAGAAGACCCTCGGCACTGGACCTCAGCGTCCGGGCAGAACGATGGGGGTGGAGACGCTCCTTCAGGTATACTGGAAGGGACCACAAGGGTCATATAATCCAACCCTGTGTAATGCAGGAACTTCTCTCTCTCTCTCTCTCTCTCTCTGTGTGTGTGTGTGTGTATGACAACTGAGGATCACATTTTATGCATCCGTTGATGTAGACTCTAGTCCACACAAAAGCTTACGCCTTAATTAAATGTATGAGTCTTCACGTGTGCTACAGTGCTTCTTGATCTTTTCATATTCAACAGTAACTTCCAGCATCTCTTGCTTGAATGCTCATGTCACTTGCTTGAATGCTCATGTCACTCGAAGACAGAAATGTTGTGGGCAGAAATGTGAAATCACTGCTTTAAAAACTTGTGCTTAAATAGCTTTCACTGTTTCACCCTAGTGAAGTTGAGAGGAACTTTGGCAAACGTTTGCCACCAGTCGCAACTGTAAAAAGTAGCAGACTTCTTCAAATGCCAGTGTGTCAAACACTCAGCAGATGTTGAGAGTCTCCTCCTCACTTTGCCTTTCTAAATGCTTCTGGGACTTGTTTTCTGCACTTTGGCTGCCATCTAGGGGAGAACGATGCAAAACGAAGAGATTATATTTAATGTTATCTAGAAAATCATTGGTTATATATGCCCATGGTGATATATGCTAAAATGCGGCTACTAAACTGGAGTGTACTCCATGTACTTATCATCACCAACAGCAGCACAACACTGATGTTGACCTAGAGTCCTGCTGCCTGTTTAATCTGCTTCTGAAGATGATGGCTAAAGGGCACCATATTGAGTCACTATTGTATATCTGGTAATGTCTTCTATTACTTGGTCTTCTCCTCTGATTCAGAGAGAAGTGGCAAGCTTTCCACCACATTGGGAGTTCTCTCCTTCTGTACAGATAGAAAGTTGCAGACAAAACTATGGAGTTTCCCAAGCAGAGATAGGGTAACATGCACTTTGGACAACCTAGAAGGCTTAAGGCAATGTTTTCAACCTTGGTCTCCAGAGGTTATTGGCATACTCCTAGGGATAGAATTTTCTGAACGCCTTCTTGTGTTTATCCACACAGGTATTTTTTTTTGTTTTCCAATTCCTGTCTCATTCTTCAACCTTGATGAGGTCTCTCTGCCCCACCACCCACCATTTTGGTAAAAATACAGTTCCTGCATATTACGTGCATCATACAATACTGATTTATAGAGGAATGATTCCACCACATGCTTATGAAAGGGATACAGGCACTTCATGACAGTGCACTGTCTTAAGAGGTCCCAGGAACCTGTCATTCTTGCAAGATGTTCTCCTTAAACTCTTCTGGTAAATGGAAAACTCTTTTGGGGGGCCTTACACTTGGGAAAGTACTTGGTGTGGCATTGCCTACTCCCTGGGGTTGCCCCTCAGCCTGTTAGTCAATTTCCCAGGGTAGACCCATCTTTCCCCAGGAGCTGTTTAATATCTGAGCCCAGAGAGTCTGGGGAAATTGTCTCCCACTTCCCCATCCTCCTCGTCCAGGAAACGCTCTTTCCTCCCTGTCTGAACAGATGGATCTTGTGGTCTACTGGGATCAGGGATATCCTGGGCACATGGGTGCTCCCTTCAGGGGCATTTCAACCCTTTCCAATCCTACCTGCCTCCAAATGTCCAGATGCCTCCAAAGCTAAAGAAAATGGACACCAGGAGAAAAGGAGAGATCTATGGAGGCAGGAGAAAACGTGGCAAGCAGAGGGAGTGGAAAGAGAAGTTAGGAAAGAACAAAGGAATATCCCTTCCAAAATGACATCCCCAGCTTTTCTCTTTTCCCATGCCTGGAGCTGCCAGAAAGAGCAAACTGCAGCGGAGCTGGAAGAAAGTTGAACTGACTAGGGCAGGGGTCTGCAACCCGCGGCTCCGGAGCCGCATGTGGCTCTTTTACACCTTTGCCGCAGCTCTGGGGCGGATACTAGCGAGGGGAGGAGGCGCATTGTGCGCCCCGACACTCCCCACTGTGGCGGGCGCTGTCCTGGCTGTGACGTCGCATGGGGGTGGTGCGTGCGTTATTTTTATGACGAGTTTTGCGGCTCCCAGTTTTTTCCCCTTCGGAAACGGGTCCAAGTGGCTCTTTTTGTCTTAAAGGTTGCAGACCCCTGGACTAGGGGTTGCCCTGCGCATCAGCTGTACCCTCTCAAAAGTTTTGACTTCCTGCCAGCGGACAGGTGGGTGGTGACAACCCACACACAATATCCCCCTTCCTCCACTACAGGAGTGCAGGTGGAAGTCCTTGCAAGGGCTTCTGCTGATGGAACACATTAGGTAAGTCATGCCCAGCGGCAAAGGTCTACAGCTGCACACAAGGCTGTTTAATAAACAAATCCATCATCCCAAAATATAGAACTAGTACCATCTAGGGTCTTACCTTATCCACTCTTGAAAAGGACAACTATGGAAGAGCTGAGCAGGAAACAAACCTGGTTTCGAATCTTCACTCCAGAACCCAAATTTCTTACGAACAAACTGGAAATCTTTTCAGCCCTTCCAAAACACTGAAGTATCTTGGCAAGAATTTGTTTTGCTATAAATTGTTCAGGGAGGGGTGCTTATCCCATTTGAAAAACCCTGTTGCCTTTTCTAAAGGAGTGGTGGGAAACCAGTAGCCCTATAGCATTCATCCCTGAAGTGATTCATGACACTCCAGAAACAATTTCCAAAGTGCACATGTACTTTTATAAAAGACTTTTTTGAATATGGAAGCAGTGGTAGAAGATATGGTTAATTTTACTCACATGGGCATCTGATGCATAAGCAGCAACTTGCAGACCAGAGGCTGTACATACAGGGACTTTTCTGTGGTGGCTCCATTTTTGTGGAATGCTCTCCCCACGGAGCCTTGCCTGGCACCTTCTTTACATACCTTCAGGTACTAGGCAAAATCAGTCTGCTAACAGGCCTTTGGCTAAAGCCCTTTAAACTGTGGGGGGCTTTATTACTTTTGCTTGCTATTATGTTATGTATTTTTCTTTTTATATTGTAAACCACCCTGTGATCCTCGGATGAAGGGTGGTATAGAAATTTAATTAAAAAAATAAGAATGGTTTTTTGTCTAGAAACTAGTCTTACTACCTGTATCTAGTGTGTTTTCCTCACGAGATCAACAGCATTTGACACATGCTTGTTAAAGCCTTCTTACAGAATTTTTTCAACTTCGTAGTAATTTTAAAATTGCAAACACTGAAAAACCCACACTAACATACATCAACATACATCTCAAAAATTACCAAAGGCTCTCTGCATTACTGATTTCAATGTCCGTAAAGCATAACAGTCAAAACTACATCCTGTATAAACTATTCTGAACAGGAACAGTTTCTAGTCTTAGAAACTTAGAATACAAGGGAGAAGTGGAAAATAAAAATTCAGGGAAGGAGGGGAAGGGAAGTCCATATATATGCTTTTGTTGTTGCTAGTTGTTGGTAGTTTATTTTTTAATTTTCCTTGTGCTTTTTTACATGTTCCTTTTGAATCACTTGTAAGGATGCAAATAAAAATCCAGTCTGCTTATACAGCTCAATAAGAACTTTGCAAAAGTCAAGCTGCGGTCTGTTTTCTGCATCTGACCCAGTGCTGAGCTTTTCACAGCTTCAGAACTTGCTTAATCCTGTCATCTGCATAATCATGTCATAACAAAGTGAATACAACTAGATTACACATAAAAGTATTTTAATACACAAAATAGTAAATAAAAGTGGCAAGCTTATTTTAAATAACATCTTTAATTAAAGTTTTTGCAAAGGCAAAATATTAAACTTAAAATAGGTCTTAGTACATCAAAATACTAAGTTTTCTAATTGTATTCCAAGCATGGCCTTTGAAACACATCCTGTACATCCCAGGAAGAGCATCCTTGATCTTCAATTGTACAGATTGAATTTTACAAACATAATAAATATATTTACCCCCTTACACATAACAGTATATGTACAACAGCAGTTGACAATAGTAGCTCAGAACAGCAACTAAGGATATTTTCCACTTCCCTAAATTATTTGGTACTCTAGGCACACAGGAGCAAGTTAATGCATGATGTTATCACATGTGGCTAGCCTGCTTTTATCCTTCCACTAAAAAAACAAAACCCTTTTGTTCTTTGTTAACATCCAAATCAAGGATTCAAAAAATAAGCAAGTAGTTTTGTCACAGGGGAAAATGCCAAATTTCTGAACATTCCTGACCTACTTTAAAAACGGAGAAAACAACCAACCAATATTCTAATATCTTCCAAAAATGGAAACTTAACTCTTAAATTACAACTGATATAGCTCATTTCAGCTCAAGGTCTGCTATCTTGAATACAATGAACCAAACTAATTATAATTTGTCAGGTTTGGGATTGTTCCCCGCCTCCATAAAACAATGCCAAAAGAGACTTTTTTTTTAAAGCAGAAGAGCAGGGATTTGTGAACTAGTGAAAAGTTATTTCTTTCCTCTCTCTTGCACTGGAACTACAGAGTTTTCACTCAGCAGTAATAACATGGGGACATTGTTGCTGTTTGATGTGAACAGACCAAAAATGAAAACCCAAAGTGCTAACACTATTTTTAATATGACATTTCTACAAATCTGGATATATCACACGTGTTGCATGTTCTTTGCTTTTTCTAGCAACTGTTCTTCAATTACAAGTTTCATCCCCTTGAAAAAGACAGCTAGCACAATATTTGTATTTGTGAAATCATGATCCATTTCCAGGGAGATGACCAATGACAAAAAGCAGGTTATGATATAGGTTGGAGAAAGGGAGATGGAAACTCTGGTTGCCACTAGGCAGCTGGAGCGGGGAGGGGTACACACCTTACACATTAAATTTAAATAGTCCAATATAAAGTTATTTGTGACAGTATCTAAAACCTCCTTAAAAGTCCATCTTTAATGTAGACGTTTCAAATGATTGCACATACTAGAAAGCTGGTAAGATTAGACTTGGTGTTTGTTACAATTGAAACTCTGTAGGACATCTACAACCAAAGGAAACCAACGGTCCTACATATCAATCAATGCAAAGCAGGAATACCTGAAGATTGCAAAGGCACAAGACTCTCACCTTTGTGTAATCACTCTGTAAATCTCCCATTGCCCTGATCAAAACATTTAGAAGTTGCTTTCTCTATATCCCTGCCAAGGTGCTCCTGTTCTCTGTGCAAATCTAAACACAAGGCCTTCTTGCAAACCGTTAATTGCTTCAGAAGCAAAGATACTGAATAGAAACAAATTCCAAGTCTAAAGGGGGGGGGGGGAATCAAGTGACAAAAAGCTTAAAGACTAACCATGGGGACCCCTTGCCCTCCCAAAAGGAATGATGATTTTCAATGGAAACCTAACAAAAAGGTCTGCTCAGTTACATTGTTAAAACCATGATTAAAATTCAAGTACAACAATAAGTGTAAGCAAACTAAATTCTTACAGCAAGCTGCTACAATAAAATGAAATTAAAAACACACTTTTTGATTTTAAAAAGGAACACTTGATGGAGCAAGTAAGAGCACAAGTTGTGACTGGCTTTCAGAAGAACTTCACAGGTACTTGTTAACACCCTCACCAATCAAAGCATACCCACAATTAACTTGCAAGACACTATGCCTGCTTCCATATAGGCCTATCTGTAGGTCACTTTTAAAGCTGTGGTATCCTTTAAAATAAATAAAAGGCTAAAGACAAGCAGCTGTTCAGTGCCCATGATGTGCACAATGCAAAGTCATCTGTACAGTATCTGGGTTCCAGTAATGAATAGTAAATGGTAGCCTATTGCAGCCTATTTGTTTCACAGTGCAATATTTATGATTGGTCTGAAGCTTGTATTAAATCATACTTAAAAACTAGGATATACTGTGAGTGGGCCATAAGATACAGAAGGATGCAAGGAAAATGGCAATTGATCTCAATATAGTCACAATCTTGGCATGTTAAGTAGTGGCATATATTATTTTAAACCTACATTGTTTTACACAGTGGGAATAAAGTACTTACACGCACCTTCAAGTTCAGAGCTAAAACTGCACCCATTGATGCAGGTTTAATAGGCAATATATATTGTATCAGAAAGTGGGAGGAAATGTTTACATTTAAAAACTCTTGATGCTTTATGAATGTCACTATACAACAGTACTGACAAATTTGGCTAAACTTTAGCAACATCCTGGGTGCAGAAAGACCTAACTGCTTATTGCATGGATTTTCTGTAAGCAGGGAACAACTGACGCATCTGAATCAAAATGCAAAGAAGACAGTTGTGAAGAGAAGAGGAAGGAACTAATACATAGTGCTGATTAAACACAGTGGCCATTTTAATAGAAAAACATTTTTTATAAGTTTCCTTTTTCATACAAACACAAGCACTGAAAGAAGGGCAAGGGGGTAATCTGCTCTTCACTGTTTTTCAGGTGACTAGCATCCTCCAGATCTTATCACAGGAAATCTGGAAGTGCATGTCTTCCATTATCTGGCCTGAACTTCAACCCCACCATATTGCAAAGAGGCCCTGCATTTCTGAAAGTCTAATTTCCAAAAGACCACTGCCACAATCACAGAAAAAAATAGCCTCAACAGCAACTTTCTGCTATTTATTGAGGAACTGATTAATTGAGCAATTACTACTTGTTCAATTATCAGAGCTAGGGTGATTTTGTTCACTATATTTTTCAGTATTACTGAAATGAAAGTGGAAGCTCTTTCAATGCTGTAGATAGACCTTTTCCCAAAGTACATACTCACTTGCAACCTGATTTCATAACCAGCAGTGCACACTCACTTGGCAATGGGAATACACATTAAGTTTAGGTTAACCAGTGAAATCATATTTTTAAAGACTGATTTCTGACAAGCAATAATTCAGCACATAGCAGACTAGATTTGCTCAATCTTTAAAGACCTTTCGAAAGAGCAGGAAGACCGAGACATTAAAAGCTTCCATCTGTAGACCCTTTAAAATACAACATCGCATTAAATGAAAGATTCAGAATTATTAAATTTAAAATACAAATGAGGATTTTGGTACCAGGATCAAAATTTATATAAAAGGCCTAAAACTGTAGATAAAATTATTATGCATGACCCAGCACGAGGGCTTTAAAAATAGTTTTACTCATACAAGGTAATTATTAGAACTCAATGCTTCAGTCCTTACTGTTTGGTTAGAAACCTCCACGCAAGTTTAAGCAAGATTCTCACCAACCCCACTCCTAGAAAGAATGGGTCAGCACAATTTATACACAAGACACACTAAGCTTTTCCCATAGTATTGTTACCAAAAAAGAAGAGTTCCTTCAAATCAGTGTATGGGGAGATTAAGCCTCACATGCTAGTTACCTTTATCTATAGGAAGAAGTGGTTAATTAAGGTATTAATACAAAACCAGCTTTCAGGCATAGCTAGCTGCACCAATGCCTCAGCTTTCCCATTTGAAGTAGTGTCAACGTTGCCATGCTATTTCTTTGTTCTAGCAGTCTCGGTTCTACTGTTCTTTTCCGATGCGCAGATATAGATTTCTGTTGAAGTGTTATGTCCAAGAATCAAAATCTCCTGCTTTTGCTTTGAGTTTGTTATGTGTAAGGAACTTCACCATTCTGCATCTCCAATAGCTTTGGAAAATACATAATCTCTTCCATTAAGATTCATGATTCCATCCTTGAGGTGAAACTTCCACTTGTTCTTACTTCTATGAATCTGTTGAAGGAGGGAAGCCAAAGTTGAAGAGAAACACCCCAAGCTTAAAATACAACATTTGTTAACAAAAACCTCCCACCCAAATCTGCTCTGGAGGGATGGATAAACTACCCAAAAGAGCATGGGAAGGGTAGCTGGAGGTAGAAGGGATCTCACAAAAAAATACCTCTTCCCCTTCCACAGGAGCTTCTAGACAGATATTATGTCCACTTTGAGGGAAGCTCAAACCAGGTTCCTTCTGGCTCTCAATCTCTGGTCTTTCATGTACAAGAAACCCCCTAAAATAAGGGGTTTATGCTGCTCACAGGTTTGTGAACTGCTTTATACACATTCCCTCCACTAACCCTAGTAGGAAGGGTTTCATCAGAGTGATGCTCTGAAACCACTCTAGGAAGCAGCCATGCTTCCTGGAGTAACTTCAAATCAACATGACACTGTATTGTATGACATTGCCCTAAAGCCCTTCTAAGATGCGCAGTCAGAGGGAATAGGCACAGAGGGGCTCACACACTGCTGTATGCAGCGTAAGATCCCTTTTTTTAACCAAGGGAAGAGAACCTGGGCGCAACAAAAGCAGCTCTTTGTGCCTCACTGTTTGGGCTCTTTGGACTCTCATAGGCCATGCCCCCTCCCCAAACCACACTCCACATCAGCCCTGCACCCTACTTGAGTGGATGGAATGCATCTCTGAACTGTGATCAACACCACTTATTTGGATAGAGGATGCAGACCGAGGTGTCCATATGTGTGTATACAAGTGACTGAATGTGTGAGAACACCTCTGACTTTTGCTGGCTGGTATGTAGACCACTGCAAAGAGATAAGCATCATATCCATTGCGCCACACTCACATTTTCCTTGTGTCCCATTTGCTGAAGCCATACAGCCTGTAGAAGGTTGCCAATAAGGCAATGCAGCCCTCAGGCTGAAAAAGATTCCCTATCTCCATATTATGCATACTTCTAATAAACTTTTACAAGCTCATGTAAAATTAACTGGAGACATGTTTTAAAGTTTTAAATAAATGATTCTAACTGCTTAAATTTACTAAGAATTGCAGCTCTAAATTGTCAGCAAACTGTACTAGGAAAGTGAGGTTTTTACCACAAACATAAAAAATATACGTATTCACTCAAGTATATGGTTTTTGCAGGAGGCAATGCAGGTTTTAGAAATCATATTTGTCAGATTTACCTTGTCATACTGGCACACAACAACATTCTCAGTATCAAATAATTCCTGCCCTTCTTCATCACTCACATCATCTTCGCTATTCAGAGGCTCCTAGAAAATATTTGAGTATTCAGATGACCCAATTCATTAAACATTACACATTTATATAGAAGTCCTACACAATGAAGACACCAGTTTTAAAATATACATATGTGCATATTACCTAGTCATGCATATTCTTTAACTGACAAAAGCTCACCACTTTGAGCTCCCTTCCCCAACCTTTCAAACCCATTTATCTAATAAGAGCAGATTTTTTTCCTATCCTACAACCAACTCAGCTAGAATTAACACATTAATGTTATCTATATGTGCTGTGAAAGTCTAATCGAAGCAGACACCTCAAAATTTACCTCCTCAACTTGGCCATCTTCGCCTCCATCCTTTTCTTTGTCCTCCTCTTCATCATCATCATAATCTTCCTCCTCTTCCTCCTCCTCTTCAGATGATGTGTCACCCGCTCCATCTACCTGTAGCACCAAAGGTGCCTGTGGCTGTGCTGTTTGCTGCTGAGGTTGCTGCTGACCTGCTGCAGGAATCTGTGCTTGTGTTGCTGTGGGTGCAGCCACTGTTGTAGGTATTACCTGGGTTTTGTTTCCTGTAAATAAGATCTGCTGGGGTTGGATAATCACTCCCGTTTGCTGTGAGATACCTCCAGGAATAGGAGCCAAAACCTAGGCAAAAATAATTAAAACAAAAGCTATTGTATCACAGCTATAATTCCTACTTAAGTCTCAGTTTTTGTTTCTGTAATAAAACAAGCAAGACAATCTACTTCTGTTTCTTGCAAACCTTGCATATGAATATTTATGTTCAATAATTATTGAGGAAATAATTATTAAGAACTTGGCATTTATTAAAATATAGCCTAATTTGATTAACAGCTAGCATTAGACACTGCCTAGTCCTTTTTAGCTGCTGCCACCTCATAAAGCAAAAGAATGGAGACAAACTTGAGTCCTCCTTCCATTCCACTATCTTCCTCCAGTGCAATAGAGGGAGGACTCAAGTTTGTCTCCACTGTTTTGCTTCATAAGGTAGCAGCAGCTAAAAAAGGACTAAGAAGTATCTACTGCACCTTCATAAGTAGCAATGCATTCTCTAGTCAGGACACCTCATATTTGTTTAGACTGTTCAAATCCACGTTAGCCTCTTTCCTCAAACACAGACCAGATGGGTAAGGCAATAAGGGATTGTACTGAAGCCGTTTCCAAAAAGAGCTGCCCCTAATCCTGCTTGATTTCATTATGCTGATGTGTTATAGAAGAAAGCAATGTGCTAGCTTTATTATGTATACATAAAACTAGTTCAGTAACTAAACACCATTCATTTCTTCATCTACAAGGTGTCAGCAGTGTTTAATCTTTTAAGTGAGTCATTGTTTAACTTTACTGAAATCAATTATGCCACAGTCACAATAAAAACAATGTTTGCTCTGTCCCTAATTATATAAATACTTCTCACACCCATCTCCTTTCCATTAACTCTCCCATTTTTGTGCTAACATGATACCTGCAAAGTGACCTGGAAGATTCCACTTAGTTAACCAAACAATCTTACTTGCTGAATAACAGGAGACTGTACCCCACCAGGTTGCATCTGTGGTATAACCTGTTGCTGTAGAACCACTTGCTGCTGTGGTTGAATGATGTATTGAGCTCCATTGGCAGTTCTAACCACCTGTAGGATTTGGCCTGTAACAAAATGAGTCCATTTGAATATCTCACTTAACTTGTGGAACTTTCTCTTGACCCAAGAGCCAATCATGCAATGAACTGACACACACACACATGAACTGAAGCATTTTTACAAAGGAAACCAATAATGTTACACTGGGAAAATTCTTAACTCAATGACATGTCTATTGATACCCTACAAGTTTACTGTTTAGACATGTTAGTTTTGCATCATGTGAGCTGCCTTGCTGAATCAGACCAAGAAGTTGCCTTGGAAACGATGCCTTATGAGGAACGGCTAAGGGAGCTGGGCATGTTTAGCCTGGAGAAGAGGAGGTTAAGGGGTGATATGATAGCCATGTTCAAATATATAAAAGGATGTCACATAGAGGAGGGAGAAAGGTTGTTTTCTGCTGCTCCAGAGAAGCGGACACGGAGCAATGGATCCAAACTACAAGAAAGAAGATTCCGCCTAAACATTAGGAAGAACTTCCTGACAGTAAGAGCTGTTCGACAGTGGAATTTGCTGCCAAGGAGTGTGGTGGAGTCTCCTTCTTTGGAGGTCTTTAAGCAGAGGCTTGACAACCATATGTCAGGAGTGCTCTGATGGTGTTCCTGCTTGGCAGGGGGTTGGACTCGATGGCCCTTGTGGTCTCTTCCAACTCTATGATTCTATGATTCTATGATTCTATGATTCTAAGTTCATCTAACCTTACATTTTGTCTGCATTATTAATTAACTAGAGGACTCTTGGAGGCTCAACAGCATAGTGTGGTGCATTTGTGGCTGTTCCTACACAATTGCCCCCGCACTGGCTTGGCACTGAGCACCGAGAGATCTCATTTACCGTTTGGGCAAGCAGAACATGCATCTCTCCTCCTCCTCCTGCAGTTACCATGCTAACGTGAATATGCAGCTTAACAAGTTGCTAACCTGCCCTCCCACATGTCTGGTCTATGGTCTTCATGCCCCACGTTCTGATAATGAAGATTGCAGGATTGCCTCCCAAGAAACAGAACAAGTGGTGGTGACTTTAGCATGGTGGGTAGTCAGGAGAAGACCATGAGGCAAGTGGTTCCCTTTCCTTCCCCTCCATGTGCTTTGATTTTATGCTTCTTATTCTCCACTTCCAAAATATATAATTTGATACATTTTTATGTTTGATATTCTAAAGTATAACACTATAGAAATGCATATTGACACATACAGAAACAAACAAACAAACAAACCTGAATTTGTGAGTATCTGCTGAACAGGAGTAACCCCAGCTGGCAAAGCCAAGGTAGCTGCAGTGGCTGCAGCACTCTGAAATATAAGAAACTAGTTTAGCAGCAAAAATAAATTATATAATGAAAACTCAGATTTAAGACGAAACAGCACATGGATTTCAATAGCCGATTACGTGTCTCTATATTAGAATAACAACAGCTTTCTTCTTCCATCCAAATTTTTAACTGCTTTGAGCACTTCTTAATTTATTAAATTTCTATACAACCCTTCATCTGAGAATCACAAGGCAGTTTACAATACTCTTACACTTCTTGTAAGAGTATGGCTTTTAAGTCAGTTATAGTACTGTTTATTTTATAAATACAAATATTAAACAATTAATTCCCTTTTCTTCCAGTTCACTCAACAGGTCTACCCAGAGTGGATCCAGAGTTGCCATGGACTAGAGGAGGAAACTGGGGGTGCAATTTTAGCTCGTTATTTCTGCCGTCTCCTAAAAAGCTGCTCTGGAGAATTGAGGGACTCTGGGATAGTGTAGGAGGCAGCACAGGAAGCTGCTGGGGCACTAGGCAAAAAACACCTCCCTCAACTTCCACCAGCAGGAACCTCCACTGACTCACATCCCTTCCACAGGGAGGAGGAGCCCTGCTGTTCATGAAAAAGGACACAATGGATTTAACCTGTAAAATTCTATAAAAATATTTTCTTGTGAAATAATAATTGACAATCTATTCAGAATTCTGGAAAACCATGAGACTGAAAAACAGGGACATGAGCTTGTGTTCTGACATACCTCTGAGCCACACCATGGGTTAGCTCCTGAAAGAAGGAGTGGTGGTGGAGTGAAGAGCCCATTATTTCTGCCCTGTGCACCTTCACATTGTGTATTCACCAGTTTATGTTTATCTATGACTTAAAGTGATTATGTAAACCAGGTCCATATTTAGACCTTATATTAAGATTTTTTTCTTGATAAGTGGTACACAATTTATAACCTATATAATACATTTAGCTACTACCATAAGTGTTCTGCTTTTTTAAAAAAGACTAAACATTCAAAACGGTCACTGAAAAAGAGGCATAAGCTTATAAAATTTAATGTTATTTTGTACAGTGCGGGTTTAGTTTTTCTTTATGCACACTATAATTTGGCTTGGTCACAAACAATCTTTCCTAATTGGGTCCCGGCATGCTTGCCTTAAAGGTAAACTGCTTAATCTTACCATGCCCGATGCATTCATGTGCTGTATCAGCTTGGAATCTGGCATAATAACTTGTTGTTGAGGTGCTACAACACATGAGAAAAAGGTAATCAATGCTTGAATCACCACAGAATACTTTGCCATAGATTATTAACACTATAATCATAGAATAGTGTGTGAGGACTTATATAGCATTCTAGTCCAACCCACCAATCAATGCATGAAATCCAGAACTGAAGCATCCAACCAACATCTGCTCAAAGACTTCCAATAATTCTCCGTTTACCATCAATAAGTTATCCTAACAATAAACCACAATCTTTCCTATTGTGATTGAATCCCATTAGATCTAATCCTGTCTTCTGGAGAGGTTGAGAACAAGTCTTTGTCCTCTTCTATGAGACAGACCATCAGGTATTTGAAGAATGCAATCATGTCTCCATTCAGTCTTCTCTTTTCCAGGCTAAACATATCTAGTTCCATCAATCTTTCCTCAAAGGTGTCATTTTCCATCATGACCATCTTAGTTGCCCTCCTCTAAGCCCATTCTTATTTGCCTATATCCTTTTTAAAGTATTGTGTCCAAAAGTGGACACAATATCCCAGATGAGATTTCACTAGCACAGAATAAAGTGGAACTATTATTTCCTGTGACTTGGAAACTATATTTCTATAAGCTTTTCTGCAGCTGTATCCCTGTTTCATGTTCAGCTTGTGATTGACTACAATTTTGGAAAGCTTTCACATGTACTTACAGCACAATAAAGTGGAACAAGTCTTGTGACTTGGGATCTCCAATTCTGTACCTATGCATTTTTACACACCACACACCCCGGAAATACAGAATTTTGCATTTTGTTAATTTCAGCCCATGTTTCCTTTCCCTCAAGATAATTTTGAATCTTATTTTAGTCTTCTGAGATGTTAGCTAGCCACAGCAGGTTTGGGTCATCTGCAAATTTCTTAAGAATTCCCTCTACCTCTTCTTGTAAATCACTGATGAAAATATTGAAGCACATTAGACCCTGGACAGAGCCCTGTACCACACAAAACTTTCTTCCAGTTTTATAAGGAGACATTTATGAGCATTCTCAAAGCATGGTTTTCCAATCAGGTATTTCACCTGAAATCACACTAATCTAGTTTGCATTTAACCAATGTTAACCAAAATATTCGTCATCAAATGTTTTTTCTAAAAGCCAGATAAATTACACTCACAGCAATCCCATAATCCACTAAACTAGTAACCCAGTTAAAGGAATATTAACCAACAATGTTTCTTCTTCAAATGAGGTTTTCCATATCACAATCTATTTATATTGTGGACACCAACACCAGATACATACCTCAGTAGAAACAATTCCTAACAAACTTAGAAGTCTTGAAAAGGTGTATGGCAATTATCACACTCACTGCAGAAGGTTCAGTTTTACCTCTGTGCTTGCTAAGAGAGGTGAGTTTTTAGTTTAAGTTCATATCCTTTACTATTATATGGAAGAGATCATATCCACTACAATATTCCAAACATTTTAAGCCAAGGACCTAAAATCCTAACAGAGAAAGGAAGAACAGTGATAAGCAGGGTGTGATGAGCCTGACCTATGCTGAACATGAGCACTACTGTTTGGCCAACTTGGTATGAGGGAAGCCATCTTAAAAGTCCAAGACTCCATTTTGTATAATAGCTTAGCAGTTTGTGTTTTCTTTCTTTAATTATATCTGTTACACAGATTGAATGGTTTGCCACTCCTGCCTCATGATAAGGACACCCCAGGAAGCAAGTTTTATTTCTGGTTTATACTCACAGCCTGTTAGGATATTTCCGTTCCACCTTAAAAGGGAGCAGGCTTTGTGAGTCAGAGTCTGCATATTTCCTGTTTCCACAGGATGTTTCTGTTGTGTTGTTTGTTTTTCTCTCTCTGTGTCAGAGACACTGAAGCAGGCAGTCATGTTTTTCTTTGTTCTGACCAACGCTGAATAAAACTTGTAAATAATGCTCTCCTGAGTGCGACTTCTGCTGTGCATTATCTGCTGATAGAGAGCGTGCATTGGCTCTAGATGTTAGGCTATTTCTGGAGCTCATGTCGCTAATTGCTGATACTGCGTGTCTACGGGAGATCGATGGACGTCCAGAGGCGGCTTGGGGGCCATGATGGACTGTGTTTCCCTGGCAGTATCCCAACACAGCCTACCCTTTACCAAATGACCCAAGAGGGTTATAAAAATATTACAATTAAAAAGCAGGTGCAAATTACATTAGAATCATAATGTAAGGAAGTTGTGTATTCTGCTTAGTCTGCCTGTTTGGTTTAAGATTCTCAATTTAACTGAGTACTAAATTAGATGTGATACCTCCTGGTTTGTTTTACTAATCTGAAAAACATCAGGGCGTTTGAGGAGTGTTGAATGTTTTCCTCCATCTAAAATGCACCCCCTCTACCTGAAGCTGCAATTACTTCTGTAAAAGGGGAGGGGAGAAAGATACAGAAACTTCTGTTTTTGTCTAATGCAGATGGGGTTTAGATTTAGCCAATCTTCAAACCTGCCCAGTGTGCCAAAGCAGTAAATCAGAATGCTGATAACCGTATCTGGTTTGGTCACAATAAAATAGTTGTTTGCATCTCCAGCTCTAATTGGTCCAGGGTGCTGGTGGTTTATTCTGAAACAGAAGCCTTACATTTGAAAAAGGCTGAAAAGTCACTTGAAACAAAGATTCTAACTGATGCTGGCATGGAGACACATAGGCTGATGAGAGCTTCTTCAGAGCATGGGAGGCCATTTGGGACTTTAGGAACTACACATTTTATTTAACAAACCCTGCTTAATGAAGCCATAGAAGCCAAAAAATGATGAAAGAAACATTCTTAAGTAGTTTTTATATATTGGGTGGTATTTAACTATGCTCTATTCAAAGTAGATCCATTGAAATGAATGATCACAACCAAGTTAGGTCCACTGATATAAATGGGCCCCATTAACATCAATGGGTCTACTCTGAGTAAAACTTGCTCTGTTTGTTCTCTGTAAGCAAATGTTTAACTGAACAAGTCTTTTGCTTAAGGGATTTAACTAGCTCCCATATTTTGAGAGCATACCTAGATTGCTTGATGGCCTTATGTCCAATTCAACCTGGAGGAAGCAGGTAGCTCATTCCCCGGCCTATACCACATGATTGCCTCAAGTCAACCAAGTGGCTTACTCTAAGTGCCAGATTCAACGAAGCTAGCACACTAAAAAAAACCAAACCCAGTGCAATGGGGCTTTCCTCCCTCGCCTCCCCCAAATCTGCTCTGGCAAGCAGAAATTCTTGCACTGATAGGAATGATCAGAAGTGCATGAATTCCCCCATAAGACTTCAGAGTTGCCCATCTCCACTAAAAAATATTGTAATTGCTGGTGGCAGCAATTAAGAAATAGCTCTTGCTAGCAGATCAATTGCTGGATGGGCATGTACTGAGTATTTTATGGGATGTGGGCGGTGCTGTGGTCTAAACCACCAAGCCTCCTGGGCTTGCCAATCGTAAGGTTGGCAGTTCAAATCTGCGCAACAGGGAGAGCTCCGGTTGTTTTGTACCAACTCCTGCCACCCTAGCAGTTAGAAAGCATACCAGTGCGAGCAAATAAATAATTACTGCTGCGGCAGGAAGGTAATGGTGTTTCCATACTGTCTGGCACTTGTCTCAGTGGTCTGTACGCCAAAAGTGATTTAGTCATGGTAGCCACATGATGCAGAAAAGCTGTCTGTGGACAAATGCCGGCTCCCTCAGCCCGAAAGCGGAGGTGAGAGCAGCACCCCACAGTCGAACTCCACTGGACTTAACGATCCAGGGGTCCTTTACCTTTACTGAATATTTTATTTTGTGGAAGTAAAATAAAATGTAGGGAAGATGTACCCAGGGTTTGGAGACCTGGGGGCATTTCTAGAGAGTGTAAAGCATAAGACATTCATTGTTACTTAGGCATTGCACAGAATCTAAACATTAGTCCTTGAGATAGCACTTATGTACCACCTGCACACATTTTAGCAGCAGTATGGATATGTCATATTAGACAGCTGCCATTTGGAGATAATCATCCTAAAAATCAGTAAGATGAAACAATTGTTACGTTCGTCCAGACTAAGGAAATACAGTATTGTTTTAATAATTTAAAAAAATCTGAATTGCCTTACTGGTGTACACGTTTGATCTTTGTAGAAATTCATACTATGAGATAGCGCATGCTAAGCCCAGTCATGTCCTAAATTATTGTGGCACTTGTGGACACCACAGGGCACTGAGACAAACACCTCCAGCCCATACTGAGGTCCACTGCCTTCCCAGTTTTTTGTTTGGGGAGTAGTAGTGCCTGCATGTTTGGGGTTTACTTGGCAAATGTACATGTTTTGTATTATTTGGGGAAGATTCACCAATTTTTCTTTTGTGAAATGAATTTTTGGTGCTCCCTTAAATGTACTCTCCTAAATGTTTTCTAAGACTCAAAAAGTTTGGAGGTCTGTCCTAAAAACAACCACCTGCAAACACTAGAACAGCTCCTCATACTATGCACCTCACACTTGCAGTCTTCACTTACAGCAGTTCTATTTTTCTAGAAAAAGAGGTCTGGAACTCACAATGAACACCTCCCTCGTTCTCTTAGAATGGCAAAGGCACCCACCTGAGAGGTGCTGGAACTGAGTTCCGGTGAGTTCCGGCTGAAAAAAGCCCCGACATCCAGTAATATTTGAAATTATAGTAAGTAAGTTGAAGGACATTTTATGAGCAACTGACACTTTAAGATGGGGAAATATCAGTCAATTAAGGTCAAATGAATCTGCTTTATACCAAGTCAGACCACTGGCCAACTTAGTGTCTACACTGACTGGCAGTAACTCTCCAGCATTTCAGACAGAGGACGTTCCCAGCCCTACCTGGGGATTGAACTTAGGACCTTCTGCATTCAAAGCAGGTGCTTTGCCACTGAGATATGGCTAGTTGTGATACACTGAAGACAACATGTAAATTGAAAAGAAGGAATTGAGAACTTGTACTCCTGTTAATTTTTCTTTGTATGAAACATTGCTGTAACTTTACAAAGCCTCAGATCCAGAAAGGAACTCGGTTCTTACCTTGCTGTGTTGCAGGAATAAGGACTTGCTGTGTCTGGGACTGCTGCTGAACTGTTGGCTGTGGCTGTGGGTGATGGTGATGATGAGCATGCTGTTGCTGTTGTTGCTGCTGTTGTTGTTGCTGCTGCTGCTGTTGTTGCTGCTGCTGAACTTGCAGCAAAAGCTGCTGTTCCTCTGAATGAAATCCATCTACAGCCTTGGACTGCAGCAGCTTGTTTTCCCACAGCTGTGTTTGTTAAGCAAGATTCACTTAAGGACACTTTTCTTTTTACATATATCAGCTATATACTCTCTACATTATTACTGATTCAATGTACTCTTTCTTATCTATTCATTTTGAAGGGAGGTGACCCGAAATCCTCTGGAAAATAAAAGGAACCTATATAGTGCTTATTAATTTGGCTCCATTCTGTATTTGAGTCTCCTTTCACTCCTATCCATATTGATAGCAACATCCAGACATGCAGTTTCTAAGGGACATCAGCAACATAGTAAAAAAGGCATCTATTCTGATGTCATAAACAGCCATTAGAAAATATTCTGCACCAAGCTAATAAAGCTAAGATACAAAGCTTGCTCTTTACTGGAATGAAATATTTTGTTTCCTGGATGAATATTACTGAATGGAATTCCTGAGATATTCTAAAACTTTTTTAAAATTTCATTTCACACATTACATTGTTCATTTACTGAAAATTTAAACTGCAAGAAAATTTCTCTCAGTACAATGGAGGGAAGACAATTTTGATAATGAAAAATGTTCAAGGTATACTATTAATATTTGCAAAGTCATTAAGCAGCAGTCACATTAAAACCATTATACTCTTAGATCTTCTTCAAAGAAAGGTGACGTAATTATGAAAACCACTATAAAACACTTATATTTAACAGCAGCATTTAAAGCTTTGAAGAGTTGATGTAGAGCAATGGCTACAACTTCCCAGTTCAAATGTTAATCCAGCCTTGAATTTACTAGGTGGCCTTAGTTAAGTTCTCCACCTGCAATTCAGGAGTAGCAATGTCTTCCATTATGGGGGTGCTCTAAGGAAGAATCTCTGCAAATGTATGCAGCATACTTGGAGTGACATGCTATATAAATATTTACAGCATACAGCCCTTCAAGCTGTGAGTTTTATGCATTGACTGCTACAAGCTTGCAAACAGCAAGTAATTTGTAGTGAACATAACTTACTGTTTTCAGTTCAACAAGAACCTGTTCATCAACACCCTCATCCAGAAAGACCTCTCGGACATCATTAATGACATCTTCAATCACAGACCTATATAGTTTAGGCTGCAAAAAGTCACAGATAAGACCAGCTTATTAAATGAGATCTATGCTAGCAATATTTCAAAACACTTCTAGATATATTTTTAAATTACTGAACTACTGTTTCACAGATAATCCTTGTGGATACTTCTTTAATTGTCTCAAAAAATTATATTTTTTTAAAAAGTTATTAAACCATCACATCTGTATAACATTCCAGAGAATCTTAGCACTTCTAGCAATAAGACAATTAATGCAGGGCTGGGAAACCTTTGGCCCTCCAGATTATGTTGGACTACAATTCCAGTAATCCCCAGCCAGCATGGCAAATGATTAGAGATGGTGTGAATTGTAGCCCAACCATTGTAACCCTGATCTAGTATGTAGTAACCTTGATTCACAAAATGTGAATCAAACCAAAGTACTCTGCTCCAATTCAGTCCAGTTCAACTGATGTCAAGTGGGACTAAAGCTACAATTCACACCATGTGTACTAAAAAGTGGCAGGTTTTACAGTACAAATCATATGTATGTCTACTTAGATATAAACACCACTGTGCTCACTCGGATTTAATCCAAGGTACATAGAATCACAACAATGAAACAGTTTAGCAGCACTGAATTCAACGGGGCTATAAGGCTGAACACTCAACTGCTGATATTTAACTAAACTAAGAACTGGAGAAGAACTATTTTTCTCATTGTACCCTGTGCATAGAGGGTAATTCATCTATCCTTTGACATATGTAAACATATGTACACACAAGTATTTTTAATATTGCTTTACTATGCAAGACCACAATTCTTGACACACTTCTATTAAGCCCCATTGAGCTCAGACTTCGTTCTTTATAAACATATACAAGATCAGGCAAGAGCTTGTAAATGCTTTAAAAAGCAGAACAAACTGTTCTATTTCACCGAATATACATTAAAAAAAAAACAGCTAGAAGGACAGAAATGCACCAGCCGCTTTGCCATCAAACAGCCACAGCAAATTGAATTTGAAAGCTGAGAGCGGCAGCTTCTGAACGAGAGAGCGCGAGCTCCTTTCAGCTTGCGCTGTGCAGGCACCTCCCAGCCTGCTTTCCGCAGCTCTCTCCCTATTTAAAGGCTGATGTGGTGTTTAAATGGAGAGGCGGTGACGTGGGGCTGGAAAGCACCTTCCCATCCTGGCAGAGTCTATATTAGAGAGCGGCAATGGCTCTATATAAACAGGGCAGCCACAGGGAGGAGGAACACAAGGAGCAGGGAGAGAGAAAAGCGAGGGGAAGCCATGATGGATCTGAGAGCACAAAATAAGAGCGGCCAAATCTGCAACGGAGCCGCCTGGACCCTGGTTTGTCAGCAGTGGTTTATTGGGGTGGGGGGGAGTGTTATTTCTCCCCCTTAGTGAATTCAGTTTGTTCTTTTTAAAAAAAATGTGAAACGGGGAAATAACGATAAGAGGGGCAGGGTTATTTTGTTGTTGTTTTTCCCTTCGTGTGACTGCTTATTGCAAACCGATGTGGAAAGCGAGAGACTCGGGGAAACTGTGTCGTCTAGTATTAAACCGAGACGGGGAAGCGTAGAAAAGGGAGGCGGGAAAGGAGGAATAGAGGCTTAATCGTTGTATTTGTTACAGCAATGATAAATAAAAACCTTTTCTGGGGAAACCTCGCACGGGCTTAAAAGAGTGCTTTCTTTTTCGCGCACGTCAAAGATATTTCCGAGAAAAGATGGGGGTTGGTGGGAAGAGGAGGAAAGGAGGAAGAGACACTTCGGTTTTGTTTTTTTTCCTTCTGCCGGGTTAGGAATTAAAAAGTGCTTTTCAACCTTTGGTCACCGACACACACATACATTTAAATTTTTCAAAAAAAAATGAGCACCCACCCCAACCTCCTCGCTCAAAAAGGGGGGAGAGAGAAAGGCACCCACCGCCCCGGCGGGAGAGAAAGAGGCGCCAGGGGAACCCGCCGCTTCTGTCTGTCTGTCTCTCCCACGCCCTCCGCGGAGGGGGGAGAGCCGCTGAGCGGGAGGCTGCCTCGAGACGCCCGCGGCGCCTCTTCCGCGGTGACCCCCGAAGCAGCGCGCGAGGGAGACGGCGGCTGCTCCGAGGGAGACAGAGCGAGCGAGCGCGCCTCCCTCCTCTGTGGCTCCGGGCGGAGGCCGAGCGAGGGTCCGCTCCTGGCGCTCTCTCTCTCTCTCCCGCCGCCCTCCGCCCATACTACGACTACGACCATCACCACCGCAACAACCGCCTCCCTCTTCTCCACACAAGCCCAGCGGCCCTCCCGCCTCCCCGCCTCGAGGCTCCCCCTTGCGTCCTTACCACGGGGTTTGTATTAGCCGAGCTCGCCATGTCCCGCGCCAACCCCCCGGGCAGGACACCGCACACCCCCAACGAGGCAGCGGCTGAGGCAAGAGCAGGCAGGCGGGCGGGCGGCGGCTGAGGCACCTTCAAGCACTTCTCTCCCTCCCCCCACCCCCCTCGCCTCTCTCTTAAGGGAAGACCGCGAGCTGAGGTAAACTGCTGGCTCCTCTTCTCCTCCCCCCCTTACTTCGCGCGCTCTCCGTCTTCCCCTCCCTCCCCCCGGTCTCGCCTCAGGGGCTTCCCCTCGCCCTCCGTTCTCTTTCTCTCCCCCTCTCTCCCTCGCCCGCCGCTGACGGGGAAAGCGCGTTCCGAAGCCGCCCTCCCCCCGCGGCCCGGCCTTACACGGCGGCCCTTGGGCTGCAGCCGCCAGCCGCCTGCTCTGCTCGCTTCGCCCCTTTATATAGCGAGTGCCGAGCAGCTGCGCGAGCGTCCAGAGAAAGGGGGAGGCCGGGGAAGGGAAGGGAGGGGGAGGACGGCGACGTCCCGCGAGAAGGAGCGAGACGTTCCCTATCGCCGTAATCCTCCTCTTCACGACTTCCGCTTTTTGACGCCATGACACCTATACAGAGGCGGAAGTCCGAAGTGGGAGCCGAACCGCCATGGCGGCTTCCTTGGCTATTCCGCTGCTCGCAACGCGCGGCTGTTTCTGCCCGAAATTTGAGCCGCCTTTATGCCCGACGTGTAAAGAATAGGCTTAGCCGTAGAGACGCCGAAGTCTGAAACGGCGCGCTCACGGGCGACGATGGCTTTCGATGTTTTACTTGAAGTTTAGCGACTCTACCTGTTTCTATCTCTATGGGTTGAGCAGACAAGTAACCCATCTGGTGCGTTACCAGTTTCCATGTGTGAGGCGGGAAAACGTAATATAAAATATGCGGCCTCTCTAGGCACACATCTCTATAGTATCGTGTCCCTTTTGGGGCGGGAGGTGGGGGAGGCGTTGCCTGTCCTGTTCTATTAGGCACCGGAAGCGCCGGTGTAAGCTTCGTGGAGCCTGTTGTCCTTGCCCCCGCCACTCACAAGATGATGGAGGTTTATATGGCGGGGAGCTGGTAATGCTGACCTGTTTCTCATCAGCTGTTCTGTGTGAATCTGAAGTTTGAGCATTATCTGGGGTTTAGATGTGCTCAGCAAGCCAGTATTTTAGTGGCCGGACTGGTAAAACGCGCACTGCAAGTTAGCAGGAACTTCCCCGGTATTGGAAAGACAGTAAACCCCATTTGTCATTCAAAGCGGCGAGCGAATTCATAATTTATTTGTCACGTCTATAGCCCACGTTTCCTCCAAAGGGTACAAGGTTGCCCACACGATTCTCTTCTCCTTCCAGTTTTTATCCTCACAACAACGCTCTTGAGGTAGGTCAGGCTGAGAGACTGTGACTGCCTAGGGAGCTTCATAGAATAATTGTTGAGCTGGAAGGGGATCCTGAGGATCATCTAGTCCAACCCCCTGCAATGCAGGATTATGCAGCTGTCCCATCAAACCTGCAAACTTGGCATTAACAGCACCACACTAACCAACTGAACTATCTAGTGGGCTTAGCAGGGATTTGGACTAGCACTACCCACTACGCCACACTGGCTCTAGGCTGCAGCCCTAACCCCACTTACCTGGGGATAAGCCCCATTGAATTAAGTAGGGCTTACTTCTGAGTAGACATGGTTAGGATTGCACAGCTGAACTTAAGAACTGGTTAGAAAATGCCATGTCTCTATAGCAGCAAGGAGACAGCCCAATCCTATACACACATATATACAAATATAAGCCTCGTTGAGTTCAACAGGGTTTACACCCAGGAGACTGGGTATAGGATTGCAGCCTTGTTGCAAGCCGTTTCATTTTGTAGTCACTTAATGGGAATTTATTTTATTTATAAGATTTATAAACCACTTGATCAAAGATTGATCTAAGTGGCATATCAATAAAATTGTAGATAAAACAGGTAGATTCCACAGAATTATTAAAATACAAATATACATAAAATAATTCTCATTAAAACACAGACAAAATAAGGAAGACTTTTAAAACAAACGTAGGTAGCTAAATTATATTTCTTGGTAGGCTTGCAGAAATAAAAAGTTAATCAGCAGGTAGTTAAAACATAGCAAGTGGGCCTGTGTCAATAGGCACTGAAGTCAGTGTGAGGAAGTAATACAGTGAAAAATAAATGCCTTGCTAAGGGATTAATTCATTGAACAACTAAAATGATTATCAATATTTCTCTGCTTTTATCCACAATGAAGCCAATCTGCTTTGTCAATTAGACTCATTAAATTTAATGTGATTTACTCCCAGGTAAGTGTGCGTTGTGAAACTTCCAACCTGAAACTGAGGCATTTTAATGACGATACTGCCTGTAATTCACCCCCATTGTGCTGTTTTAACACTTGTGTGGCATTTCTAGTTATTTGTAGTTAATAATTTCCTGGAGTCTGGCCAGTTTCAACACATTCAACACATTCTATCATGAATGCAGCCCAGATGGCTGATACTCTCATTATTATGAAGGCTATGAACAAGGGGCTATAGCTGTAGAGGGGTGGGGACAAATGTGGGGTTTTTTCCTGGCAAGCAGCCCATAGCAAAAGCCCAATAAGAAAAGCCTGATGGATCAAGTCAATGGCCCATCTAGTCCAGAATCCTGTTCTCACATATTCCTATGGGGAGTCTGAGAATAGGACCCGAGATCAACAGGACTCTCCCTACTTGTGATTCCCAGCAACTAGCATTCAGAGGTAGAACATAGCCAGGTGCTGTGGCTCGTAGCCACTGACAGATTTATGCTGCATGAATTTTGTCTAATCCTCTTTTTCAATCCTTCCAAGATGGTGGCCATCGCTGCCTCTTAGGGGAGCAAATTCTATAGTAACAATGCACTGGGTGAAGAAGTACTTTCTTTTATCTGTCCCAAGTGTCCCAACCTTTAGCTTCTTTGGATGTCTACAAGTTCCAGTGTTGTAAGAAGGGACGAAAAACTTTTCTGTGTCTACTTCCTCAATGCCATGCATATTATACACCTCTATCATGTCACCTCTTACCTTTTCTTTAAACTGAAAAGCCCCAAATGTAACATTTTCTCATAGGGGAGTTGCACCATCCCCTTGATCATTTTGGTTGCCCTTTTTTAAATGTATTCCAGCTCTACAATAATTCTTTTTGAGGTTAGGTGACTCAAACTCTAAATGGTATTTATGAACAAGTTAAAAAGTACAGGTCCCAATGCAAACTCTTGGGGGACTCAATTTTCTGTCCATTCCTAGTCTGCTTCCAGTTTTTTTAACCAGTTGCCAGTCCATAAGAGGACCTCTCTTATTCCACGAGTGCTAAGCTTATACACTAAGCTTACCTCTGTGTTGAGGTACTTGTCAAAAGCTTTTTGAAAGTATAAGTACACAATTTCAGCTGGATTGCCTCTATAATTCTATATCCTTGTTGACACACTCAACTCTTAATAGGTTAGTGAGACATCACTTACCCATTCGGAAGTCATGCTGGTTCCACTTTATCAAGACTTGTTCTCCTGTATCCTTGGTGATTTTATTCTTGATAATGCTTTCCACCCATTTCCCCTCATTTCCAGGATGCCTTTTTAAAAATTGGTGTTTTGGCATCAAGGCTAATTTCAAGGTCAAGTTACATATTTTCTTAGCTAGTCAACAATTTCACGTTTCAGTTCTTTAAGAACTTTTGCGTGGATGCTGTCTGGACCTGGCAAGTTTATGAGAATAGCTGAATTTGTACCATGTGATATTTATACGCAGCTGCAAATGGTTCTCGTAAATGCAAAGCAAGTTTCAAGTCACGGCTTTCTGAAAGGTTGCTGGCACAAACTGACTTCAGTTGATTGTGCTGTGTGCCTATATATATTTCTAAAGTACTGTTTCTGGAGTTTCACAAATTATGTGCAGGTTTTGCAGATACTTCTGGTTTCACATTTGCTGAAGCATGCAGATACACACAGAAAGCTAACCACCGGCTGACAGTATGCGATATGCTTTAGTTGTGCTCATACACGCTTACAATCAATTTGCAAACTTTCCCTTTAGCCTCATGCATCACCTTAAAGGATTCCCACAGAAATTCCCACCTTTTTGAATACAAGGGGCAATAAATAGGCTGAATGAAGACACTAGATGCTGAGCCATTGGCTTTTCAGGTCTATTTGTCCTCTGAGTGAAAAAAGCTAAACCAGGACTGCACCACTCAGAACATTATCAGGGCCAGTTTTACATTTTAATTAACTTCAATTAACATTTTTTGAAGAGGAAGCCTAGAGGAAGGCTCTAAAATAGGCCAGTGAATACTGAGCAAACTCAATGGGTGTGGAATGGTGGTTGACTGTTAGGTGTAAAAATAATTATGTATAACCAGGAAAGGGGAAATGGAACTGAGTATCCTGAACAGGAACATTTCACGCTGCAATGTTCTGTTGCAGGTTCACTTGTTCCAAATTCCATTTTGCCGCACATAGAATCATAGAATAGTAGAGTTGGAAGGGACCACGAGGGTCATCTAGTCCAACTCCCTGCAATGCAGGAATCTTTTGCCCAACATGGGGCTTAAACCCACAACTCTGAGATTAAGAGTCTTATGCTCTACCAACTGAGCTATCCCAAACATGATGAGAAGAGTACACTACTTGGAAGTCTTCCATCACCTTAACAGTTTTATTTTTAGCTCTCTAACCCAAATCAGTATTTGGGTAGTGTCAGCAGAAGAAATAAACAAACAGTTTCAGATGAAGAAGAAGAAGAAGAGTTTGGATTTGATATCCCGCCTTTCACTCCCCTTCAGGAGTCTCAAAGCGGCTAACATTCTCCTTTCCCTTCCTCCCCCACAACAAACACTCTGTGAGGTGAGTGGGGCTGAGAGACTTCAGAGAAGTGTGACTGGCCCAAGGTCATCCAGCAGCTGCAGGTGGAGGAGCGGAGACGCGAACCCGGTTCCCCAGATTACGAGACTACCGCTCTCAACCACTACACCACACTGGCCCTGATCATAATGATATCTCAGGGCTGCCCCTCCCCTTACTGTTTGTTTCTCTGTCCACAGGCCCATGGGTTGTATTCACCTAACTTTCCATTAAAATGAGTGGATCTAAATTTGTCATGGCCATGAATTTCAATGGGTCTATTCTGAGAATGGGGTTGTATTCACCTATCTCCATTATACCCATTATGTTACATCCGTAGCATTTGCTCTGCAAAATTATATTTCTATAACCCCATCCTTCATATGTCTTCCACTTTCTAAGGAACTGCCACTAGAGTCCCTGTTGTATCCTGGAGGAAAGGTTATGAACACCTGTTATTTTCTAGAGTTGAATGCTCTCATGATCTTGGGGTATATGTGTAAATAGATAAATAAAATTACCCATCCATTCATCCATAGTTTTCAGGTGAAACAGTTCCTAGAGTGGTTTGCTTAAGATTTTTTAAAATACGCGTTCCCTTCATTTAATCCAAAAGATATGCCACAAATGGGAGGGGAGGGATGAGGCAGGAACAATAAAACACGGAAACCTGGGATTCAGTCCTTATGATGTAAATCTAACCGTCTGAAATCAAAACTGTTCAAAGAGAGAGGAGTCAAATGGATCTGGTTTTTCAGCAGTGCCAAAGAAATGGCCTAGCTCCCTTTCCTTCTGCTGCAGCCTGATGGAATGACTGCTGCCAGCTGACCCCTGTCATTCAAGTGATTACCTCCATGTATATCTTTACTGGGTGGTTCCGGTAACAAAAGTAAGCCCAAATCAGCTATCCTGACTACGAATAGATCCCTGGACTTATATCTTGTAGCAAACTCTGATCGTTGGCATTAATAATATTAATAATAATAATAATAATAATAATAATTGTACCCTGCCCATCTGACTGGGTTGCCCCAGGCACTCTGTGTGGCTTCCAGCATATATAAAAACATAGTGAAACATTAAACCTTAAAAAAAGCTTCCCTATACAGGGCTGCCTTCAGCAACTGTTCCTCATCTGTTCTTCTGTCATCACTCAAGCCCCAGGCAGCATGTAACCATCTGCATATGTAAGCTGGGCTTGCACTGGCTTGGTGGAACATTTTATTTGGCTAGCTGCCAGAGAGAAATACCAGGAGGTTATCACCTCCCAAGAAAAGGTTCTGAAAGTGCAAGTCATAGTGAAGGAAGCCTCTTAGGAACATAGGGAGGTGCCTTACCCTGAATTAGACCACAGGTCCATCTAAGCCTAGTATTGTTGACACTGACTGGCAGCAGCTCTCCAAGGTTCTTGTTACTGTTGGTGTATGTCATGGTTGGGAAATCTGTGGCCTGTCAAATAGTGACCATAATTAGAGAATTGCTGATAATAAAATCTCCCTTTTTGCCTTTCTTTGGCATAGAGTGGAACTCATGGACCCTTCATGCAGCCCATCCCTTATCGGTGGTTTCTTCCTAGTCTGTAATGGTAGCATTAGGAGAGGGGGCGGCAGGCTTACCTCGCCTGGGCCGGTTTACTCCAGCAGAGATCCCTCCGTGGGCCAGACTGCATGTGTCAATGCGTGCACCCACAATTTCCGGTGTCTGAATCTGCGTAGACACAATTTCCGGTTTAGCGCAGTGGGCGGGGACTCGGTGGTCGGCTCGGTATGGGGGCAACTCATGGGGCTGTTAAATGACCCCCTGGACTGCTTGGTAGGTGTGAAGTCCTTTCAATCTAAATGTTGCTCTCCTTCCCAGCAGTGGTGGAGCTGGCTGCATGGGCGCCTGGAACGGTGGCCATGCCATGCACCGGGGGGGGGCGGGGCGATCCTCCGCGTGTGGCTGCAGCGGTGGTGGTGTGATCCTCCGTGCGAGTCCCCTGCGGTGTGCCTCTGTCACCCCCCTCAGAGATTGCACGTGGGGCGGACCGCCCCCACCACACACCCCTTCCTACGCCCCTGCTTCCCAGCTGGCCAGAATGAGGGTGTGCCTGAACAACTGGCTTTGTGATGTTTTATTTCGTGTAATTAATTTTTATTTCCTTTTCTCTGTTTCCAGTGGAAATAAATAAGCATCAATGCAATTGATTGACTGCCTTTCTGTTTTGTGGAGTTTGCTGCTGATATAAGAAGTGTCAAATATGTAACATTTTAAACTGCAGCACAAAATATATAGAAACTTGTACAGTCTAATGTTGCTAGTTGTTACTGTTACTGTTATTGTTGTTATTATTATTATTAAATTTATATCCCGTACTTCCTCTCCAAGGAGCTGAGGGCTGCAAACCCCCAAAAGCCAAAACAATACAATTGGAAGCCACTACATACCTTCAAAGCTAATAACGTTGCCAGGAACAGTATCTTTCAGCCATCAAATGTCTGAGCATGGGCATAGGGGGGGGGGGCAGCCTCCCCCCCCCCCCCCGATCAAGTAAAGCAATAGAAATACTTAACTAACTATAATGAATTAGACAAATATACTGCACCAAGAAGGGCATTCTGCAAATGGAACTGCCACTAATAAGGCCCTGTCACAGGGCCTTCACAACAACAGAGCCTCCCTTGGTCTGTGGATCATAGGTTTATGGAACTGAATTTATCTCTTCCTTTCAAAGTTGTCAAAAACATTAAAAGTGCTGGTGCTCTAAATACTGTAGTCCTGTTATTGTATTCATGGATGTTTCATTTGTTTCTGAACTGTGACAGAAGTACCTGACCTGTATGGTTAACATTTGAACCTCAGCTTTTTCCTAGAAAAAAACACTACATAAGTTCCAAAAAGAGAACTGCGTGCTACACTGCAAAGTAGCATCTAATCTGGTTCTTAGATATTGGCTTCTTGAAAAATGTGGTGCAACTTTCAACATTGAGAAACGACATGGTTGTTGTCGCAATACATACTGGATTTCTTTATGCAATAATAGTGATGGGTGGAGGGTTTATACATACAGTGGAGGTTCCCTTTAGTTTAGATCCCAATGTACATTTGGTAGATCCTCTGACTGATTATCAATCTGCTGTTCCTGAATGTGGTATTCATTGAATTTTGTGGATATCTGGATTATTTGACAGTGTATGAAACTAACTAGAAATTTTCATAGGGACATTTTGTGACCGTATAATGTAGGTGCTTTTTTTAATATAAAAAAGCCCTTGCACATCAGATCATTTTATATTAAAAACATTGTTCCAGTTTTGTACCTCACATTAATGAGTACCGTTGGTTATTGTCTCTGTTTTTCATCCATGAGTTTTCCAGTAATAGCATCAGACCACAAGGTGGCGAAAATGTCCCTCACAAATAAAAATAAATGGGGCTTTTAAAATTCACATTGCAGCATCTGTTCATTTTGGAATGAGCCAAAAAAATGCTCAAGTGAAGTGATTATTACATTTACATTTCAAACTTCTTATGATTTTTGTGAACAGAAATGTTCTAGCAACAGTGAATCTGTAGTTCTCCACCCACTAGCCCCCCCCCCCAATTATACACCAGCAGGGATGGCTTGTGGGGGGGAGATTTTAACTCTTGCTCCCCTATGGAAGTGTATTATTGGGGCACCATTAATTCTTGGGCCCCTCTTCTTTTTAAGAAAAGAACCATGTGGAGTTGCAGGGTGAATGTAAGAACCTTATACAGACCATTGGGTCAGTGTTATCTACATTGATTGGCGGTGCCAAATGTGCTCACCAATACTAGAGCATATTGTAGTATTTTACTTTTTTTCATCTCACAAGTAGAAGTGAAATTGACAAGCATATTTGCTTTGTATACAT